TTTATTTAAAATGTGGGGTACAATTCAGGGTTAGGTACACAAATGTTCATTATGCAGGTACCCTTGTCGATAAGGTGTGCCCCCTCCTCCCCCTTTACTTTTTTTTTTTTTTTTTTGTAGAGGCAAGATCTTGCTATGTTGCCCAGACTAGTCTCAAACTCCTGGGCTCCAGCAATCCTCCCTTCATGACTTCTCAAAGTGTTGGGATTATAGCCATGAACCATGGTGCTAGGCCCTCTTCAACATTTTTATCAGTGATTTAGAGGATGTCTTTAAAAAATGTTCAACAAACTTACAAATAACAGAACTGGAATCCAAAAGATCTTTACAGATTTTGGCAATTGGTTAAATAAATACAAGATTAATTTTCCTCTAATAAGTTAAAATTTAATACCCCTAACATTGGGGCTGCCAAGATCAATACTGTAAGTGCAAAGCAGGAAAGACATGGCCCAACAGTAGTGTTTTAGTCTACAGCTAGCTCAATATGTCCAAAGTATAATATGTCTGTCGAGGAAAACTGACCTAAACTAGTGCTATCTGAGGATGTGTTGACCGAAGCATAACTCATTGCATGAGGAAGCTTCTGGTCCTGTCCTACTCTGATTAAACAAGTACATGAAAGTACATTCAGAGGAGAGGTGATCATGAGGGTGAAGGGATTCTGAACTACATTACTTGAGGAATATTTGAACCTGAAATTTATAAGCAGGATTTGGGGGGTAGGTGGAGATGGGAAGACACAAGAACCCCCTTTGAATATCTGAATGAGAGGATTAGATTGTATCAGCTCTGTTCTATATGCCCCAAAGGGCCAAACTACAGACAACGCATTAGATATATAACAAGGAGATAAATAATATCTCTCCAAGGTTCTCTAAGGTTGGACTGATGGCCTCCAGGAGATGGAGTTTCCTGCCACTGCAGGGGCCAAGCAGAGACAGATGAACCAGCTTGGCTGCTGTGGCGGAGATGGGAGCTTTAGCTGGGTGGCTGGGTTAGGTGACAT